AGAAAAAGACTAATAAATGAAGATCATTTCCTTCATCCATATCAAACATCCCTCTGTCTTATCCTTTTGCTACTCACTCACATGGCATAACACCCTAAATGCTTGCACAGCTTACTCACAGCTATGCTAAACCTCCGCAAACTATGGAGACCCACCGTGACCTCTTAGCTTATGCACTCATCCTTGCCTCCACCATTGCATCTGTAAAAGAGTACATCTACCACCTGTGGGTGCATGTGAGTGAGTGAGTGAGGAGTGAGTGAGTGAGTGAATGGGTGAGTGAGTGAGTGAGTGAGTGAGTGAGTGAGTGAGTGAGTGAGGAGTGAGTGAGTGAGTGAGGGAGTGAGTGAGTGAGGGAGTGAGTGAGTGAGGGAGTGAGGGAGTGAGTGAGAGAGTGAGGGAGGGAGGGAGTGAATGAGTGAGTGAGGGAGGGAGTGAGTGAGTGAGTGAGGGAGTGAGTGAGAAGGCAGTTGGTCTATGTGGACCAGTGTTGAGTGAACAAACAATAAACAAACAAACACAAACAAATGAGCTCACTGCCAGGGAGTGTTCCGACTCTAGCAACCCTAGGTGGGTTGAGTAGAACTTTGCACAAAACACAAACCACACTCACTCCCATGGAGTCAGTCTGACTCATAGTGACCCTATAGGGTAGAACTTCCCCTGTGGGCTTCCCAGACTGACTCTTCAAAGGAGTAGGCAGCCTCATCTTTGATGCCTCTCTTGCCCCCACCCCCTGCCCCAACCCCTGCTGCCTCCATCCTGCACCAGAGGCTCCCAGACCAAGAGGGCCTTCCAATCTGCTGCAGCAGCACGCACCCATCACGCTGCAGCTGGCTGACACAGCCTGTGAGCAGCGTCTTGGCTCTCTGGCACATCTGGGCGGGAGACTTCCTGGCTCCCAGCTCCAGAAAGGAAGTTGAGATGGAACAGAGTCTGATGGAGCATCCAGAGTGGACAATGTTTCCACAGAGGGAAAAGTGCCCCACATCCAAGAGGATTCTGGGCGGTGGTGCTGAGAGGGTGGTGAAAGGCAGGAAGGTGAAAAGGGCAGGCTGAAGTAGACCAGAGGTACATCTCTGTTGGGAAAGAATGCTGTTTCATGAAAGGATGCCAACTCATAAAACGAGAGCTTCCACTCCGGGAAAGCCTTTATTTAAGAGCCAATCATATGGGAAACGAGCTCATTTCCTAGAGCATTGATTCATGGAAGAAGTGACTAGTGTCTTTCAAGTCTTCTGGAAGACCACCAGCTTCTACAAGAAGGTGAGAAACTTCTGGAGTCGGGAGTGAGGCGACCACAGCTTGCTTTCTGATTCTGACGCACATTGGCTGTGTGACTCTAGGCAATTCTCTCTCCACCCCTCTCCCCCACCCTTAAGGCTCTTATCTGTAAGAGCCCCATGGCCCTAGGGCTCTGTAACACTTCCCTACCATTCTATTTCAGAAGGAGAGACCCTGAGGGAAGGCTGCAGGCAGAGTTCAAGCAACTGAGGTACAACAGGGTTGGTGAAGAGAGGCTAAAGACAAAGGGCCTGATCGCCCTTAGGACCAAGCCACACGCCTGTTTCTTTCTGGCAGCATGCATGAAGGCCTTTATCAAGAGCCGGAAGGAACGCTGAGAGTGACTGGAAGGAGTTTTTGCCTGGTGTTGGAAGGCTGGGCTAGAACAAGGGAAAAGGCCAGGGGCTGTTAAACTCTCACCATAGCTCAACTGCCTCGACTGGCCTGCAGTTTAGGGACAAGGAAGAAAATGATGAAGAAATGAGAAGGGTGAGGGGATAGTGGAGGAAAAAAAAAAAAGACAAGGGCTCCTTAAAAGGGCACAGGAAGGACCCTTTATGTAGGGATTGTGATAAGAGTTGTATGAGCCGCAATAAAATGATTTTTTTAAAAAGGGCACAGGACCCAATCCATTTGCAAGCCCCACCCCCACCCCCCTGTGGATGAAGCTTCCAGTGAATGCCCTGTGACCACTGACCAGGGTCGTGAATAGCCTTCCTATCTAAGACAGAGTGCATTAAAAAGTGGCTTAATACAGATGTGGTTAGGTTACATTTGAACACCTTAGCATTTGTCTCCCTTTTGACCCATTTTAAATTTATGCTAATTGCTAACATTTTCTGCTTTGTTTCCAATTGAGGTCTTTCTGTTTTATTTTGTTATTGCTGGTGGGTTTATTTTTGTTTGTTTGTTTTGTATGTTTTTCTGTATGTGAAATTCAGCATAGGTGAATCTCTAGGGATTGGAACTAGGTTAATAGTTGCTTAGGGCCATGGTGAAGGAGGTTGTGGGAGTTGGGGAGCTAATAATGAGCAGAAGAAAGAAGAAAATATCCTGAAATTAATCGCAGAGGTGGTTGCACAACGATTGTCATGATTAAACCACTGAATTGTATAATATGTAAATTATATGTCAATGAAACTTTTTAAAACGTTAACAAGAATCATAGAATATATATTGTTGGGTTACTTTGCCGCAGCAAGACCAATATCAAGGAGCCTGGCTCCTTGCCCTATGTTCTTCCTTTAAAGAAGAGTAATCTTGCAGGTTACAAAACAGAACGGGTAACCAGTCACCATACATATGGTGAGACCCCGCATAGGTCAGAGCAGAACTTTGCTCTGTGGGTTGCCAGGTCTTTCTTCTGAAACACCTCTGGGTGGACGTGAATCTCAGCCCAGCCCAGCATGTCAACACTTTGTCCAGGGACTGTCACAAAGAATAAACAGAACTTGTGAGATGACTTATGCTTCTCTCGGTCAGAAACTCCTTTACAGAAAACATCTTAGTCCTTTAAATACAAGAAAACATTCTTTTTTTTAAATAATCATTTTATTAGGGGCTCATACAACTCGTCACAATCCGTACATACATCATTTGTGTCCAGCACATTAGTACATATGTTGACTTCATCATTCTCACAACACCCGCTTTCCACTTGAGCCCTTGGTGTCAGCTCCTCATTTTCC